GGCACAACACTGCTCACAGAGTACTTGAGGGCAGAGCTAATTCTGGGACATGGCACGTGGATACGGACAAACCCAACTGTGCCTGAGGAGAATAAGCAGCACATCCAGAGGTGTGTCAGCCTTCACCCCAGCCTGGCACTTGGGAATGTAAACAGTGGCTAATTGCTTGGCTGTTCTGCAGCAACTGCCCCGGGCAGCTTTGTGCTTCATTTTGGAAACTGATGATTTTCGATTATTTCAGTTCTTTTGCTGGGATAGATCCATTTCAACGTAATTGCCTACAGTATGCATGATAACTGAATGGGGTTTTTTCTGTTCCCATCCAAAACCCCAGAAGCTCTCCCTTAAGCTCAAGTGCTGTGAACAAGCTAATTATCATTCTCAGTTTTCTATGATAGTAAGCAAAACATCAACACTGACCACGCAACCTGAGGTCCAAGTCTGATTGCTTGAGCATACAATACTTGAATGATATTTCATAACATACGGTATAAAACATAATCTTACATAAATTATTCAGCATCGTGCGGTTTTACTGTGCAACTGCCAAGTTCCTGATCTCCTCAAAAGCCTTTGCTACAAGGAGAGCAAACCAATTTTTGTTGTGTCAACTTAGAAACGCCTGAAAAGTTAAAACATAATGCATTTCCGACAAGAGGACAAAGGCATGATGGCAGCATTCGCTACTCATAAATCATTCCCACTAAGAAAGTTAACTTTTCAGCTTCTTGAGGATTGTCTTGTATAAAGCCAACATTCTGTGTTTGTGAGAACATGTGTTTGATCAGTCAGTTCATCTATGTGTCTCTTTGCTTTTTTATTGCTTAGTTTGCAGAAGTTTACTGACTAGTTCAGTGTTTGTAATACTTTACATAATTGCATGCATTGAAATATTAAATATTCTTAAGAGAGATTCATTTGAAAGTACAGAGGATCTGCTCTTTAGTATTACTAAACTCACATCCTGGATTCATAGAAAGATGCATTCATAGGCTGTGGAATAGAGATATATGCCAAGCTGTTGAGAGACATGTGAGGATAAGGTCAAGGCAGACAGTAATTCCCTACTACAGGAATTTAATGCCCGCAACTATTTTAGGTAACTGTCACATGCTTGGGTTCACCATGAAGATCAATTTGCAGTAAGTTTCTCTTGTTTCTTCAGCCTGACTTCCAGCTTACTTTATGGGCAGCAATATTATATTCCCACAGTTATTAAACAGAACTGAGCTCAAGGGTTGTGATCCTAAGGTACACTTTTAAAATGTGATTTTGGAATATGCCATTTCCCTCACAAAAGGAGTTCTGTGTTGCAAGAGTGAAGAGAAATTGTGCTGTAATAAAGCACTGTAAAGTGCAATGAGAAAATTATGTTCTGCTTTGTTTTCCTTTCCTCTCCTCTCACAAATACTGTACGCTCACCACAGTCCTGTAATTTGCCTCTCAAAGCCCTGAATCCCAATGTAGCTACACCCTTGCTTCCTGAACACTTTGTCTGTTACATAGCTCCCACAGGATGTGGACAAGGTAACTTAGTGGTTTAGCCCTCCTTTGTTACCTGTCAAAGATCCATCCCCTGTGCTCACATGTCCATATACCTCATGGAAATTTCTATATGGATTGGAAGGACATTGGTTTTAAGAGCCCAGAAGCTTTCCAGACAGTCTCATACCTAAGTCACAAGCTGGCAAGGTCTTGCTTCATTAACGGATTCAAATCCAATGTCATGGCCAGCCTATGCTATCAGTAGCTGGTACTGTTGCCAAAAGCAGTGCCTAGTCACATCTCCTATCCTTGATTTATCCATTCTATTGTGCCCTTGGCACTGGTTCACTCAAGCAGCCAGGCTTGTAGCTATTCCCTCCTGCTGGTCTTCCAAGAACAACTTATTCAATTTTTTTCTCCCATACACAACGCTATAAGGAATTGTACAGTGAATTAACATTATGCAAAAAGCTACAGATCTGGTCACAACTCCCTGCCTTGGTTTACCCTGGATCTGTGTTGGGCTTTTTTTTGCTGTGACATGTTTCCTGACATGTATGTGTCTATTAAAGGCAAAAATTATTGACTGAAAGAGTAGAAACGTAACAAAAGTGGGTATGTTTCAGCTCCATAGAAATGGAATTCAAGTTTCTCACATCATGAGTAAGGAAAAAATATAAATCTCTTCCAGTTCCAGCTTTGCTTCTGACCTCAAGAAAGGATCTATTTCCTTACTGAAAAGCCAACAAGGGGGGAGAAAACAAACAATTTGGATGACAAATGTGATAAAGCTAAGGGCACGGCCCAAATGTTGGCAGTGCTGCCTGGGCCCTTACCTCAGGGCAGTGACGGCTGCTGCTGAGCAGGCGCAGGCCTGGAGGACATGTTGCCTTTTACCCACTTTTTGTATTTGCTCATTTCCCAAAGAGCTCAGTTGTGAATGTCATTGCCCCACACTGGCAACACACTACTGCTGGTCTTGCCCCTTTGCACACATGGGAAAAACAAGGCAGAAAATAAATGTGATACCCTAGCAGTGAGGAGCCATTACATCCACAGCTCTGCAGTTTAACAGCGCAGAGCATCCCGTGAGCTGGGAACAGCAGAGATTCAGGAAGGCTACAGGGAGATGTACCTATTCAGGAGCAGGATTCAGACTATCCAACACAAAGGTAGACAGTCGTGTGTGATAGCTGATGGGGTTAAGGAGGATTTGAGGCCCTTTTGGTAGATGTGTCTCAAGAGAAGCCAGGAGGCCTGTGTCACCTCACTGCTGTGGTGCTGTTGGGTGAGTGCTGCCCGGTGCTGCCTTGGGCAGCGATCCTCCCCAGCCAGTGGTGGGCCAAGGGTAGCACCTGGGTGGTAATGCTCTTCCTTAGCAGTGAAATACAGCCTCTGTTTCTTTGGAGATGGGAAAGGGCATCAACAGAACAGCTGGATTTTACACTGTCTGTGAGTACAGACAGCCAGATTTCAGCCTTTTTTGGATGTACAGGCCCACCAACATCTCACAAAGATATAACTATTCTAAGCCTTCACGTTTAGGCTTGCAGCCAAATACTGTAATTCCTGCTACACCAGAAACACTCAGCTCACTGGTACCATGTGAACATTCTCCTGATGTTACACTGTAGCTCCTGATTAATCCACTGAAGCTTGAGATAGTAAATCTGTCCATAGTTCCTGACAGCATTCTTGGGAGATCATTAACTAATGACTTAATCATCTCCCAAGTTTAACAATCACCTTCTCCTGCCAGATGATGCGGTGAAGAGACTTTACAGTTTCAAGATGTTTCAGTTGCAGGCATTGTTTGAAATTCATTTACAAGTGGGAATACGGTGGTTGCTTTTTGCTCTGCTTGGCACATCTTTGGTTGCCACAGGGGCATGTTAAGCAGCTGCCCTACTGTCATCTGTAGGAAGAGCTGAAAGCACTGTATAGAAAATAACCTGCTTTTAAACCAGGATACGCCACATCATCCACAGTTTACTCTCCCTGTCCACTTAAAAGGACCCTGATTATTCTTAAATGCCTTAAAATTGTATAAAGGTCATAACCAGAGTTTAAACTGAACATTCTCTCGTGATGTGGTATAACAAAAAAAGAGTGTTTAGAAGAAAAAATAAAGATATGTTGCTGTGGCACCACATGATGACTCTTTCAGGTATACCCACAGCGTTCAGTATTAATCAGACCCACTCTTCCTATCAAAGTTAGTTAATGCAAATCTGTTTGCAAACAGTAGATATCAGCCAAGGTGTAAAGGCTGTTTCTGAGCCACCCAAGTCACCAAATTTAACCAACCAACCAACCCCACAAAACCCCAGAGAAGCTCAGGGCATTCCTCACCTTTGTAGTTCAGTTACTGTAAATGCTGTAAGTCGGCCTCCGTGTGATGTAGCTCCTGATCTACAGAGTCTGCTGCGACCTTCACTGATGCAGGACCACCCAGCCAACAGCAGCCAGCAGGCGAGGATGGATGCTGCAGCATGTGGAGCTGGCAGCAGGGGTCTGGGGTGGGGGCATGGCCTGGGGCTGCCTGCCTGTCTGGCCTGTCTGCTTTCCTGCTGTGCTGTAAAATGCAGGTCTTTGAATACTGCTTGTTTTCATTGACCACCAAGTGGAAAACACGCTGCAGGACAGCAGGTCTGAAAAACACCGTACCCTGATGGGATTGAGAGGCACTCCAGTTAGATCCAGTTATTTAACTGGCATAGTTCTTGTTGAGTAGTGGACGTTTTAGCCCGTGACAAAGATGCTGAAATGACAGAGAAGACTCTTCTGAAGGCATGCGTGTGGAGTCATACATTGCCCACAGCTGCTTCTCATTTCCACGTATTCAAGTACTTCAACTAAAATAGCTTTTAAACTTCTATTGAAGTTATCGTTGTGCTGATTTTGAGTGGGTATTCACCAGACAGACAGACATCACCACAGAGCGAAGAGACACTGCTAACACCGCTCGTGGGCTGTCGGACAGCGTGGAAGTACAGACATCATGACACTGCAGAGCACAGGAGCCCGGCCACAGCTTCACTTGTGAGGTGGTTATAAAGCAGCTTTGTTGAAGGGAGCTACTTAAAAGGTGACCTGTCAGAAGACATAAATAACATCGCTTTTTCTTTGAGTAGACGCCTAGCAAAGCAACGCTCTGGGATTACAACCAGGACCAAGCGAGGACACGCAGGTTTCGATGACGCTACGTCAAACCCGCGTCTCACGAGGAGCGCCGGCCGGGGCAGCTGAGGGGCGCTGAGGGGCACCGCCCGCCCCGCCCGTCACGCGGCCGCGAACACCGCGGGGCTCCCGGCGCGCAGCCCAAGTATAGCCGCTCTCGCCGCCGGGCCAATCCGGGGCAGGCGCCGCTCCACCCGCCCCGCCTCCGGCTCCTTCGCCGTCCCGTGACCGCGCCGCCGTCCCCCGCGCTCCGATAGGCGGCCGGGCGGGGCCGGGCCGCCGCGACAGTCGGGCAACGCCGGGCGGGCGGCAGCCGGCGAGGAGCGGGATCCGGGATGGCGCGCAGCGGGCGGGCGCTCGGCAGGGCGCTGACGGGGAGGCTCGCCGCCGCGCCGCCGCCCCGAGCGGCTGCTGTCAGGTAGGCCCCGGGGAGCGGCAGGCGCGCGAGGTCGGCGATCTCGGCCGCCGGCACTTCTGACGCCGCCGGGGGAGCGGAGCGCAGCGGAGCACCGCGAGTTGAGTGCTTGAGGCGGTGCCGAAGCCCGGGCCGAGCCACCAGGAGAGCCGTGCCGCTGCGCGCCTCCCGTCTCCTTAGCGCGGGGCGGCTGCGACGGCCGGGCGGCGTGCGGCTCGCGGGGCTGCGTGCCGAGGGGGGAAGGAGCCGGGCGCTGCGGCGGAGAGAGCCGCGGGGAAGCCGTCAAGAGCGGTGGAAGGCGCGGCTGTGCGCTCCTGCGTTAAACGCGAAGCCGCAGAGCCGTCCTCCTCCTGCACGGACAGTGTGCGCAAACACAGCCGGCTCTCGTGCTGCCCGCGCCTACGGAACGGCCTGTCGCCTTCCTGTGACCGCATTCTGCACCGCGCAGCAGACACAGGATACACTTTACATCACTTTACATCCTCGCCATTAAAATAGTTGGGTCCTGCAAAGTAAACCAGCCATTTTCAATGAACGTTTTAGAAACGACGCAGTTCTGAATGGAGAGCGGGAGCAATTACCGAGAGGGGCATTCAGCGCAAAGCTTAGTGGCAATTAAAGACAACCCCCGAATACGTGCTGCTGCTGGGGAAGCGCTGAGGGGCTGTCAGGGCAGCGCGGCAGTAGGAGCGGTGCCTGCATCCTGGGAGGGACTTGGCTTTGCTTCGGGGGCCTCTGCCGGACTCACAGGAACACACGACTGCCCATAGCGGCTCGCACTTGTGTGGTTTCCTGAAGAAGCGAGCTGCTCCGGACCGGGGCCAAGCCCAGCAAGTTCTGGTAGCATCCATTCTTCACAGATAATCTAGAGAAACATGTAGCCACACCAGTTTAGTTAACATTATAACCTCTCGTAACCCCTCCTTCCTTGAAAGGCAATGTAGCTAAAGGATGTTATCTTACAGTAGCTACAAAAGCATTTGCAGAGACTGTTTTTCAGCCTTGTGCTGAAATGCATGCAGATAAAATTGTATGAGACAGTGCACTGGCACAGCTCGACAGTAAAAAAAACAACTACTGGAAGACACCTGCCAGCAGGTTGGGACTGCGTGCTGTAGGCAGCTCCAGAAAAAGAAACTTAAATGAGTGCTCCAGAATGAGCTCCGGTCCAAAGCTGTGAGCTCTTTCAGTGAGTCTGGTTGAGGCTGCAGGGTTACTGGCACCTATCCACTATTTCTGTCCAAGCCACAATTATCAATTATCCTTAATGGTCCTGTCTGATCTGAAGTGGGGAAAAAAACAGGCTGTGTCCATCCCTTGAGATACAATTCCAAATGTATGCAGAGCTTGCTGTTGGAAGACTTTTTAAGTAGGCTTGTTGTCTTCATTTTACCACTGTACTGATGTAGGACCTTACGTCCTCTCTTTTCAGCTGTGGTGATTACAGGCTGTGGTGTCAATCACCCTGCTTCATCTCACAGTTGCTCATTTATTTTTTAAAGAAGTCTGTGCAGATAATTGCTAATGAGCCGATGGGGATATTTATTTCCCTCTAAACCCAAAACCAGTTTGTTCTTTTCATTCCTTCAAGTACAGTGACCACACAGACTAACATGGTCAGTCGAGGGCTATTACTGCATTTCTTTTAAATTGAAAGTTATGTTGATTTTTAAAGAGCATGTTAATAATAATTTCAACTGCTTAAAATCGGTAACTGTAATTTGCTAAACTACTTTGGTGGGTGGGAAAAAATGGCATCCATCACTGCTCAGTGTGTTAAAGAAACAACAAACAAGTCTTCTACTAGGCATGGAAGGTTGGTTCAATTTTTGACTTTGTGAATCTGGAGGTACAGTCCTGATGTTTAATGAAACAGAGAAAGACCTTGGTTGTGCTCCAGCTTACATACATAGAACTGCTGACAGCAAACAGTGACATTTTGAACTCCCTGGTGCCAAAACCCGTAGCTGAGTTAACATTTTACATCTGAACTGGCTCAATCTAGGCAAAAGTGGTAATTTAGCATGAGACCTATTAACCACAGTGAGTATTTGCTAGGCTGTAGTGCAGTTGTTCACAGAGAAAAAGCTGAGGTGGGATCTGAACTGATAGCATTTCTTAATTTGTTCGGTGTAATTTCTGAAAACAACGCATTCATGGTTTTGTGTGCTATTTTCAAGACAAGAAAATGTTCAGTGCTGGGGATGCAGTGCAGTTTCTGAAAGCACTTCCAAAATAAAATCTTCCTTTTAAGAGAAAGAAGGCAGCAGATTACTGCTGTAACTGCAAACACAAGCACTGCATGATCCAAAATAATGCGAGGTATGCCTTGATTTTGCTGGTAAGAAGCTATATTCTGCAAATGCAAGTGCACGAGTCTTGTACAAGAACTCAGGCTGCCACGAAGCCGGTGTTTAATGGGGGCCTTTGTTACTTTACTCAGCCAGCTTCTTGTCTCGTGACTGGGAGCTATTTTTAGTTTCTACTAAAGGGAAAAAAAAACCACCTCATGTTTTGAATAGACTGCAAACTGCTACCAGCTTTTGTTTTTCCATGTAAGTTGGGCATTTTCTGGAACACTACTGAGCAGACTGTGCCATCTCACCTGCTGTGATCTGCATTGCTGAAAAGACAAACATCTAAAAGCATTCTCACTGTTGCAGGCACTTGGCTTCTTGTGGTATTCTGATGACCAGAATTTCTCCTCTGCAAGTGCCTGTGCTGAGCCATACCTTTTCAAGAAGTTTCTTCAACATTGCTGCACCATTAGTAAATAAAAGAAAAGAATACTCTGAAAGGAGAATTATAGGGTATGTATGGAAATTTGAAAATTTGTGTTTGCTGTGATTAATCAGAAACACTGGAAATCCAAAGGCTGACCATCCCTGAAGATACACGGCCCTGAGACTGTGCCCAGCTGGAGACCAGCAGTAAGTTCTGACATCCAGAACTTGTAGATGTCAGGCTGTTCATGTCTGAAATTCAATACCAAAAACTGAGGAACCTAAAATACCGTCTCTCCTTTGAAAGAAAAAGCAGAAATAACCTTTTTATTCTGCAACAGAACAAAAACAGTCCCAACAGGGAAGCATGCGTCACTAATCTGGTGAAATGGGGGTATACAAAAGGATGGGAGAACTGAATATTTTTTTTTCCCCTCTTCTTGCAAATACGTGCAATGTTACACTTAGATTTTGTGGTACTTCTCACTTGAGATTTTGTTCTCTTTTCAAAAGAAAGAAAATAACTAATTGTGGGATTAAGAAACACAGACTTTGTGGAAAATTTCTCATCAACATAATGAGATTGAGATCTGTTCCCAGGCTCCAGTCTGCAGTAGTATAATTCATTCATTACATTTCATATTTTTGATGATACTTAACATTCATTTATATAGTAATTCTTGAGCTGCAATAAATTGTGGGTAGTTGTTTAAAAGGAACCTTTGTCCAATAATACTATTTTTCCAGTGAGTGTATTTTTTAATCAGCTTGTTTTAGGAGCTAAGTAAGGAACAGAGCGTTGCTCTATTTAAACCTTCTAAAACACAGGCCCTTAGTTTTGCCATCCCTTTTTTGGAGGATGTGAAGAGCACATTCTTTCACTGTGTGAAACGTCACATCCACCCCAATGACAACTCACCATGCTGGAAAAAACTCTTTTTTCTATTTGAAATCTAAGCATGCTTCCCCAGTACTGCAGAAAGCAGCAGGCAACAGGCCCAGCGGTCACTAACCTCACAGCTGGATGTTATGTGCTGTTTTGCTTCTTTCTGCAAAGGCTTTCACCAATTTACAGCTTTTTTTTCCTCTTGCTGCATGTTTAATTTTCAGAAGTAACAGTAGGGTTTTCTGGTATCTGCATGTTCACCTTCAGAACTGCCTGTGCCATAAATGGTGTCTTTGAACCTTTTAATACTGAATTCATAGTAAAAACACCACGTAACTGTAACTCTCACCTTTTTATTCCAGCTATTCTATGCAGGAAATGTACGAAGTTGTTGCTGTTGTGGAGAACTACAAGCTATTTGTGCCTTGGTGTAAAAAGTCAGACGTGTTATCGAAGCGCTCTGGGTACTGCAAAGCACAGCTAGAAATAGGCTTCCCTCCTGTAGTAGAACGGTACACATCGGTTGTTACCCTGGTGAGACCACACTTAGTTAAGGTAACTTTTTCTTACCTATTGCTTTATATAACTCCTATGTTAGACATTCCAATATTGCTTCCCGTGGTACAAAAGTGGTGCTTTTCCTTAAAAACTTCAGGTTACTCGGGGATAATTTGAATCTGCTTTTAAAACATCAGCTGCCAAATAGGGGAAAAATTGTTTTTTAAGCTTGTTTTTGCTGGAGAAAGAGGCAGCCATTCAAGACAGCCAATTCGTGTTTATTTTTGTTATGTATCAAGCCTATCTAAATGCAAAATCAATGGCTTCAAAGTTATCGGACAACTGTCGCTTCTGGTGTCTTAGCAAAATCTATCATTCTTTTTCTTCTGACAGTTTTAATTATGTAAGAAGTGTTAACTTGAGGATGAAGATCTGCTGAAGAGCTTGTTATTCAATATATTATGAGAACATCGGTTGTTTTAAAGTCCATTTCTTAGAATTTATTTGTTTAGCAATTGTGCATTTTCTCCTTTCAGCTTTTCAAGGGCAATAATTAAAGGAGAAATTTAAATGAGGCCAGGATCTTCCAACTGCTTGTCTACCTCACAGGTTCACTCTGTTAGGAACAGCCCCAACCAGATCCGTACCAACTGCCTCTCCCTTTATGTGGCAATTTTGATCATCTTTTGGAGCAATTAATGACAGTTGGTTACTATTCAAGATACATATTTGGACATCTTATTTTACTGTTCTTTTCTAGGCTTCCTCTTATGGGACACTGCTCAAAACAGAAATGGGTTTCTTAAGTGCAGGGGGGACATGAATTGGAAAGAGAACATGCAAAGTACTTTTAATCAAGGTACTTACTAATTTTGGAAAGAAAAAAAAAAAAACTTCCTTGCATTTCTAATGAAGTTGAACAATTGCAATAGAAAAATCTGCGTTTTACATGCTTTCCCTTTCTGCTCTTCCCTGACAAGAGTGCCTTTTTCTTCTTCTTCTTTCACAGATAGATATCAGGTTGCCTTACAAAGCCTTTTTCGCTTTTATTCTGTCAAAAGAAAAGTTCCCATCTCAGAAAAGACCAAGAAATGTTAGTGTTATCTCTGCTGGGATGATTTTTCCTACAAGTTTACATTATGCTCATATAACTGTAGGAACATTACCATGAAGTGACTGTGTGTTTGGACTACTACACTGTCTTCAGAAATAACTCTGGGCAAAGGCAGCTTGCATGGTGCTTCTGTATAGCAGCCTATTGGCGATGACAAAATGAACATGGATTTCTTGCTTCCAGCAGCAGTGCTTAAGCCCTAGAAAATCAAGCTGATAGCAGCAGCTCTTGCTGCTGAGGGAAGAGCTGGCTGAGTTTTACTGCTTGTCAGGTTGGGGGCAAGGGGCACATGCTGGCACTTTCCCCATGCTTCCTGTCCTTTTGTCAGCAACAGGCCTGAAGGGCTCAGCTCCCTCCCTGTCTGCCCTTCTCTCTATTCCTTCCCCTTCTGTTGCAGAAGCAGTGAGGCACTGTATTGCTATAGTAGGCAGAAAAAATGAGGTACTTTTCTGCATTTGATCAGTCTTTGAGGCGGCTTGGTTTATGGTTTTAAAGTAGGATTGTATAGAAGGGCTCTCAGAACACTGATTAAATGTGTCTTGCTGGAAACAAAGCCAAGATTTAAGGCAATTATGAACTTGAGTGTATATGGTTTCACTGACTTTGGGGTAGTTCTTGATGATGATAGTGTCTTATGACAAAGGACTTTTTGAGTTTAGCATCAAAATAAACCCGATTGAAGTCAAACATTCCTATAGCACAAGATTACCGGTCTATACATTAATATATAAAGCATTCTATACATGTATTAAAATAAATACATATACAAAGCCAGTAAATATCGACATCCTTTGCTGAAAACAGTGTTATACCAATATTTTGGTAATAGAGCACTAACATTACCATGGTGTGGGATGCCTTAGGCGAGAGATCTGTTTTACGACTCAAGACAAAAATCCTTCCCCTACCATACAAGGTTTTCAGTTATTTTACTCTACGTGATGCTGTGCAAGTGAGATCTCTTGCTGGCTGCACTATTGAGAACAATTTTTAACTATGCTGTGACCCTCACAGTCTAGCAGAATGCGAATGCACGTTCAGTAATCCTGATTTGTCCCTCGTGTAGGAGATTAACTGCAGCTTGGCTTTTCAAACTTTCTTTTAGGCATCCTGCACTGATGGAAAGCTATTTAATCACTTGGAAACAGTCTGGCGCTTCAGCCCAGGTATCCCTGCCTATCCAAGGACATGTACATTGGATTTTGCAGTAAGTACTGTAATTAAAACTTGGATGTGCTAGAAACGGAGCATAAAAATATTCTTTGGTTGCATTTAAGAAAAAAGAGTATGTGGTACCGTTTTCCCTCTGCCCTCCCACCCACTCACACTGAAACTGAGTTAATGGTTGTGAACGTTACCATGTGGAAACTGCTACACGGTTCTTTAGAGACAGCAGCTGTGTGCGAGATGTCCACACACAACCACTAGGGACTGGTATCTCTCACCTTAACATTCTCTATATGTTACAGTTTTAGATAAGCAAATACAGGGGGAGAAATCATAAACATATTCATGGACTTTGCTGTTTCCTTTCATTAGTTTACAACCAAAGTACTCTTGTTATCAGAAAGTAGATATTCTCCCATCTCTCCTGTTTGGCCTACAAGTTTTGCCAGCTTGATTTCCCAACTTTTAGTTTTACTATTTCATGTATTTTAACTCCTACTCCACCTAAAACACTGCTGCATAATTCTTTAGAGAAATGCTGCCCTTCTATTTTAGGATATCACAGGAATGGCCTGATGCTGCTGGCCTATACTGGGACACTCTGCTTTGAAAAATCTCTTCTGCAAATAGGAAAAAGAGCTTTTAGAGTATTTGTAAAGCACCACATAACCTCACTGGGTTAGTAACTTCCACCTTATTGCTATACTGAGCTTCAACAGTCCAAAAATTAACCTATAGGCACTTGAAAATTTATTTCTCATGGCATTTAATAACCATGTTTGCATGTTAGTTGCTCATGGTATTTAAATTTCTCCAGGCTAATAAGTGCCAGTTCCTGCTACTGACTAGTAATTAACTTGAGAAAACTTCAATTAAGCATTTATATAAACCCTGCTCTTTAAGTACTGGGTTTGTGCAGAAAGTTTTTTCCCCATTGAAGCCAAGTTTTGACACTTCAGGTTGAGAATTTCAGTTAGGCTCAAATCTGCACTTAAAATGGGCATTTTCTTCTCGAAGAAACACCATTAATACCTTACGTTGCTTACATCATTTGAGGTAACAGAAGCAAATACAGCCAGGTGAGCAGGAGGTTGTCTTACAACAGCAAGTACTTCAGGATTGTAACCCTTGCCCAGTTCCAACATGCTGTGCCTCAGGCCTACCCTGACTGCATTGATAAACACTTCAGAACAAACTTCTCAAAACATACTGTGTAACTGAGTGAGAGAACACTGATCTCAGAAGTGCTGGTTGGCTTTAGAAAGGTTTGAGTTTTGCTTATGCTGGCTCCCCAGCCTATGGCATTGTTCTGCCAGTCTGCTGAACTGTAACAAGGCGTTGTTTTGAGATGTTTCAGCTCTTCACTGATTTGGTATCTGAATTTAAGCACAGTGGGTTGCCATCTGCAAGCTTCACGAATGTATGCTGTGCCTCAAAGTTCTTACATGGTTCCTGAGCATGCTGTAACGCTCACAATCCCTGCTTTGCAGAACTCTACACGCTGTGAGGCCTCTCAGACTTTCAGAAGGCACATTAATTTTACTGATGCTTGAGATCAAACAAATGCAAATGAAGCTACACCTGGCTTACAGTCCCCATAGTTAAATTACTTCCGTATTACTATTCCTGCAGCTCATATGCATTACTCATAAGCAATTTAAGAGAATACATATTTGCCTCACTTAAGATTTTATTTGCTAATTTCTCAGGTAGGACAAAAGTACTTAAATCACAGTCCAGAAAACATGCAGGACTTTTTTTTTTTTTTTTTTTTTTTTAAAGTGCAAGAGAGCAATCTATTTCTTTTCCTGACGACTTAGTAGTAATTTCTGGAAGCTGTAGAACTAAACCCAATAGTGTAGCCTGAAGGGGAACGTTCTTAACTGGACCGAGGGCCAGCACAGCAAAAAAAAAAAAAGCAACAAAACAAAGCTTGAAGGCTGGCTGACATAAAAGTGACCTTGCTGTTGTCATCATGTTTTCTTTTGGGGGAGGAGACAGAAAGCAAACTCACTTGCTCCTGCCTTAAGTGCTAACTACTACAGTAGTTTCAGCATAATGAGAGATTCAGTAGCTGAAAGGGAATATAAGGCACAAGGATTTGGTACGAAGGACTCAGCCAGTACCTTTGTGCTCCAAAACTGACTGCCTGTGTCAGGACAGCAAAGGTACAGAGTTAGGTGTCCAGGAAGGAGACAGAGCAGATAAAAGCAAATTTGTAGCTTTAGTCAGTACAGAAGCCTTGTTTGAACATATGGTTAACGACATCTACACAGGTGGATAAACAGTGTTGGTACCTAATAGGTAACTACTTCAAAGTGCCTTTTAACCCCTCTTTGAGTTTGCTTCAGCTTACCTGTACATCTGCTGTCTTGCCTCGTGGGATTTTCTTCAAACTTCTGTCACTCGAATTCTGTGTGCAAAGTAATGAAGTTGTTATTATTGGTTGGAAGTTCTTCCATTATCCCAAATCCATGTATGTTTTGTGATCCTTTGTTAAGATACAGCTAACTTAGAAAAATTGAAGTGATGCATAAGAGAACCAACAAAATCCTAATTGGAAAACCTAGGAAAGCATTCCTCTGACCCAAGAATTAGGCTTTTCTTCAATTTCACGCTCATCATTCAGTTTTAACTGTTCTTTCTTCTACAGCTTACTTGTAGCATTAATTGAAGATTTTCAAGTTAGTTCTAATGACATTTTACCACAACGGGACAAAAACCATCTCCTTTATTTTGACAGATTTCTTTTGAATTTCGTTCACTTCTACACTCGCAACTTGCTACACTGTTCTTTGATGAAGTGGTAAAGCAGATGGTTGCTGCCTTTGAAAGAAGAGCATCCAAGCTCCACGGCCCTGAAACAAGCATACCTCGGGAACTCATGTTTCACGAAGTTCATCAAACATAATGGAGAAAACTTCAGCACCCTCCACCATAAACATTTTTTGTACACCATTTGTAGAAGTGGTATTACGCTCCTTTTGGGGCACCTATTTCATTTCATACCTGAGCTTTGTGTGTAATTTTCTACTGTACAAAACACGCACATGTTCAGCTGAATGTATGTATTCTATTCAAGCTGCTATCAAGTGCAGTTCAGAGTGTTATTGGTAACAGGCAACTGCCACGTATGTAATGCAAGGTAATTTCGGCTGCCATTATTAATCTGTCGAACCATTTCTGTAATCAGTTTTTCTGCCTTATCTAAGCTTGCGTCTTTTCAACATTGTAATATATTAACTCAAGTTTTAGCTGTTAGCAGTGTGAATGTTACTTACCAGCATCAACTCGCTCAACTCTGGTCGAGTTAAAGGGAAATCCTGACATTTTAGCTTTAGGGCATATGGAACGCTTGTCCCAGCATCAGCGACTTGGTGCTTTTGATCCCAGTGGCTGACAGGGGTGGTCAGGTGCCTCTGGCTGCTGTTCAATTCTGACCAGAAACTGCTACAGAAAAAAAACAGAAAGCAGCCTTACCCCTGAGTTTTCCAAGAGGCACACCTAACACAAAGCACAGCAGTTTCAGCTATATCCACTATCTTTGCTCACTGGGCTTCAGGCACAATTGTGTTTGATAATCTGAACTTACCTACTTGCCACAGTTTCATCGTTAGGTGTTGCAATTAGGTTACACTACATGTGCCTGGTCTAACGCAGAGTTCTTAGTTCTCTAAAGAGTAAATGTTCACTCAGTGAGAGCCAGGGCATGGATACACTCCCTTCTGTGCTGCACTACTGCTCTTTAAAAAGAGGGAATGCTCCCCTTAATAGTGTAAAGACACCCAAAGTCAACTGTCATGTAGTGACACACAACATAGAGCAAAATTTTACTTATCTCAGTACTGTTGTGCCTTTCACTTATCAGTGCAGTAAGTGGTACCAGCTGTCTTGATTAAACTCATTCTCACTAAATTATCTTCATTACATCAGTACTCTTTCCAGTCTCTGAAGAAACAGGTGTATAGGTTAGAACAATTTCAGATCCTGTCTATGCACTTTCTCAAATTTCATCTAGTTTCAGTCATGAAATTCTGTAGTTTCAGATCAAGCACATATCCCAGCTGAGGCCAGTCAGCACACCCAAAGCCTCTGTAATCCATTTGAGTAGTACAGGATAGGTGGCAAGATATCACGTAATGTAGGGACATACATTTCAGGACAAAGGATGGCCCTGGAGCAGTCTTGGGCATCTTACAACACTTCACCAAATAAGATTTCTCACCTCAGTTCTTAGTACAGACTTACATAGACAGTTCTTAGCAGTGGTAGGCAGCTGGGGAAAGTGACAGCTGGATTAAGAGGTCAGTTTTGAAGCACCTGGGGAGCTGTAAAGGATTTTTTGTTTTGAAACTGTGCAAGAAAAAATGAAGGGTTTGTGAGCACCACAGGAGGTGGAAAGCAGAAAGGAAAGATGGTACAGAGCAGTCTTACTAGCTGTGCTGGGTTAAAGAAAAAAGGAATAGGTGGCATACAAGGCTGGCTTTAAGGGCAAACTTCACCTAGTGCAGACAATGTAATATCCAAAGAGCTGAAGACCACAACTCTCAAGCCAAGAAGGCAACTAGGTACTATGCTTAAGCAGCAGTACTAACTTACTCAACTCTTAGCAAAGAAAACTTACCTGTTTCATACCCTCAGGGCATTCTCGCTCCTCCCACAGCACTGTGAGAAATTGTTCCAGCATGTAAAACAAGCAGTATGGAAAAGGCAAAATAAAGTCAATGCACGTGCCTTATTTTCATATCATTGTTTAATATTTCAGAAGAACTGTCTGTCAGTTCAGCTTAGGTATTTCTTACCAGAGTTAACGTAACTTCTATTTCAGAGAAACATTCTGGACAGGAGGATGCTTCCAGGAGAGAAATGCCCTCTAGGCTTAAGTGTCAGATTTCTAGTAAATCTTACAAGTGAGCTATCAAGTTTATCCCAGAACTATGGCTTTGTGTACAGAGGAATAAGGTGATACATATCAATACTCTTGCGCAGTTTGTTTTATTACATGAAGGTCACATAATAGTGTATTTCTCTACTTTGTACACAGTTGTCTAGTCTTATGCACAGTGGCTTCCAAGTTCTTCCTAGTTCTGGCAAGCACCAATAAATTCTGAAACAGAATACCAAGTGCCTTAATCAAGTTTAAATCAGAACCTTGGTAGATGGATCTTGCACTCAGTTATCAGGAATGTACAAATGTCTTTATTCAAAAAATACAAAATAAATTATCTGTAGGCATGGACAATGACTGTAAACAATTACACGTGTGTTAAATGAAATCCAGTAACTGATGGTTACAGTGATTCTTTTAAACACCAGCCTCACTTCAGTCAATATCCATCCTCTCACACTGACATCTGAAGTTTTTAAGTCAGAACTGTCAGTTTTAAACAGCACAGTTCATGATGCATCAGTACCCCAGGAATTAGAACATGCCACCTCCCATTCCTCCACCCATCCCACCCATTCCTCCCATTGCTGGCTCTTTTTCCTCTTTAGGAACTTCAGTCACTACTGCTTCTGCCGTTGATAAGAGAGAAGCAACACCTGCAGCGTCCATCAGAGCCGTTCTCACAACCTGAAGACAGGAAAGAAAGAACTTAGTACCCATTTAGCATCCCTTGCAGAGGGAGGAAGAGAAGTTAAGGCTGGTTTTGGTTACCTTCGTTGGGTCTATGATTCCTTTTTCTACCATATTTACAAAGTCCCCAAGCATTGCATCATAGCCAACTTCTGATGGACTCTGCAGTATTTTTTCAACTATTAATGATCCTTCAACACCTGCATTCTTTGCAATAGTCATTGCTGGAATTTTCAGTGTTCTCTTAATTATTTCAATGCCTGAAAGAAAAAGGATCTTTAGGCGTTAGTTATTACTTACACTCCTATTACCAAGACATACATTTAAGTGCTGGAGATTAATACAAGAAGAAAAAGCTAGCAGAGCAAGAAGTTAACATATTTTTCTCAGTTCAGTGGGTGTGTGAGGGGAACTTCTTGAAATTTGCCAACAAATTAAATCACTGCAAGAAATTAGCTCATTTTAGTTTTTCATGCCCAAGAAGTACTAAAGAATATTGTTGTCACAGCAGGTGTTCATGGAACACCTTACAAAGCCATCTTCCATTTGATGTGCTGAAGTGTCTTAAGCATTGTTGGAATTCATGCATGTTTGCAACAGGTTAAGTAATTCAATTATTTCCTTAGAGGCTTTTCAACTTTCAGAGGATGCTGCTGCTTTATTGTTTTGCACACCCGAGCTAGGGAAGCAACAAAAGCTCTTCCCCGCTGTAAAGGAGAAATGTCAAACCAAAGGGCATTGCCATACCAAGGAGATAAGATGTTGAAGTAACTAAATACTCACTGAAATCAATCTATTTAATCCAGGGAAGCCTCAGGACAAAAAAAAAAGTCTATTTTCAGCACTCCCACACGAGCATCTGAGTAATGTACTTACCAATTTTCTGATCCTCATTGGCTGGTTTTAAGGCATCTAATGCTGGAATGCAGCGAAGCAAAGCACATCCACCGCCTGGAACAATGCCTTCCTCTACAGCAGCACGGGTTGCGTTCAGGGCATCAGTAACTCTGTCCTTCTTCTCATTTACTTCAACATCACTTGTGCCGCCAACCTACAAGCAAGCCATACGTCAAGGTCTGTAATGAGAAGCCCATGTAGGTAAGCCTGCCATGGACTCTGCTGCCACAAAATTAAACAGCTCTTAATGCCACGGTTTAGCACTGCATTAACCCAAACTCCTTATCTGAATCAGCTGGTTATGAGACAAGCAAACAGTAAATCACATCAGCAATAAATGGCTGGTGCCACCACTTGTCCTGAGTTACTCTGACAGCAGTCCAAGTACAAGCTGCCTTCTTGAGTACTGGCTGCATTTCCGCTGCTAAGAACACTACGGAGCTGACTCCACGCCCCTGCACACCTCCCGCCAGATCCAAAGGAAAAACCCATGGCTCACAAGTTACGGTGCAGCTGCAGCGTTTGCTGCTGGTTCTGGAAGTAACTCCATTATCATCTATGTGCCATTCTCTGTCTTTGAAAGTGATTGAAGATATTAGTGAAAGATGGATCTGAAAAATTTTGTTTAAGTTTTAGTCCTAAGAAATTTCATATCTCACCTTCAATACTGCTACCCCATCAGATAGTTTGGCCAATCGTTCATTCAGTTTCTCTTTTTCATATTCACTTGTGGTGACTTCTAGCTGTTCAATGATTTCTTGAATGCGTTTTTCAATTTGAGCCTTCTCACCCTTCCCCTTTAGAAGCATGGTGTCATCTTTGGTCACAATCACCTCTCCAACTTTCCCAAAATCATGAGGCTGAATATCTTCTACGTTTAGGCTCAAGCCCTCCTCTCCAAACACCTGAACACATAAAAAGTATAGTTAGGATTTACAGCTTTTCCATGTATGAAATTATTATTTCTGTGGATGAACACACGTACAGCAGCCTAACAGCACACAACCACCATACCGTAGCAGCTAAGTGCAAAGAACTTCCTCCCTTCTCCTTACAGGCGAGGCATGCAGGCATCACATAATCTTGCTGAACAGGGAACTACAGAACTACAGGTTTCTAGTTCACAACTGATTTAACACATTAATTTAATGTGGCTGGAGATTGTGTACAGGTTCACCCATGTGCTTCCAGAAGTTATGAATAGTGGCAATAAACTAACTGTAGAAGAGTTTGTTGGTTTTGTTACTTCACGTTTCATTTGGCTTAAACATCTATTTCAATAACCAGCTTTGGATCTCAACATCATGTTAGGATTCTGAAGCATGTATTAAAAAGCATTTAAAAAACGACAGTAACAGTCAGTAACATCAACTATTCTGAAACAGAGATAGTACAATTAAACATTTGTGTAAAATAAAAGTAACCGCATTCTCCAGCTTATTCTTAATCTTCAGAACAATCACATTCATCCTAATTCAAGTCGTAAGAAGGGAACTATGCTTTGCTATTTTTCTCAAGAAGCGTTTTGGACATTTCTCCTCTAAGAAACTAAATCCTGCAAGGAAACCCTGTGTGTAACTTCAGCCACTTATAGCAACCTATTACTCAAAGCTGGTCAGAGCTGTGTGACACAGCAAGTGTCACCATACTTGCTGTTGTACTTGTTCAAGCATTAGTTACCACTGCCCTTTTGAAAGGATAAGAAACAGCTTGCAACACAGCAAACAGAAGTCATGGACTTAAAACTAAATTATTCACCTCCCTAAATAGCATTTGTGTTTCTTAGAGGAAAAAGTCAAGTAAAATATCGTTACTTACAGCACCACCTGTAGCAATTGCCATATCCTTAAGCTGGTTTTTCCTGTTGTCACCAAAACCTGGTGCTTTTACAGCAACAACCTGAAGACCAACCTTGAGCCTGAAGAACATAATTGAGAGGACAATACTTCAAATGTGTTCACAAAACAAATCTAATTGCTATAAATTGATATTTCAGTACCAATCAAACAGTTAAGCAAACAGGGACCTTCATGAACTGAGCTGCTGTTGCTCAAACAAGTAGCTCAGAAACCAATTCAACCTAAGCAATATCAATTATGGCTATGTGTAAGAGTTGTCACTTCCTAGTACTGGGAAAATTCAAATACATGCTTTCCAATGTATTCCTCTAAAAGGCTGAAAATGCAGGGAATAAAAAAAATTTTGTTGTTCCAAAGCCCTGAAAGTATGAATTTCAAACCTCACCTGTTCAAGACTAGAGTGCTGAGGGCTTCTCCATCAACATCTTCAGCAATAATGACCAAAGGTTTGCGGTGACTATTGGCAATTTCAAGAGCTGGAACTATGGACTGTACACTGGAAATCTTCTTTTCACTGATTAAAACGTAAGCATCCTGGAATTCACATTTCTGCCCTGCAGAAACAATATGCACTGTCTGAGCAATCTCAAAGCAGATCGAGCCTTCTCTGAAACTTACTGTGCAGCTTCAGAGCTACTATTTAATCTTTCAACTTCAACTTTAAGATAACCCAAAAGCCCCTAACAACTAATGACAAACACAAACCCCATAAAAACCCCAGTGCTGTCTTCTGAGACATTCAGTTCTGTTATGTGGAGTGCCGCAGGGCCAGCTTAATGGTAGCACAGAAAATTGTTCACACTGAGCATGAAAGTATAAAAAGGAAAAAAACTATCAAGCTTTTGCCATGTTTCTGATAGGGGAAGGACCCCAGCATCCTACTGCCATAATATGTAGCATAACAGCCTTTGTAAGACACCATTATTTTAAAATTAGCTGAGCCATTAAGGTAGCTGGCACACAATTTTATTAACTCACCTTTGGCTGTATTAATGAAATACGGAGAGATGTAGCCTCGGTCAAACTTCATACCTTCAATGATTTCTAATTCATCATTTAGAGTTTTTCCATCCTGTTTAGATGCAATGAAGTCTTATTAGACATCTGTTTATAAGAATACCACACGTAACAGAAAAAACTACACCACACCTGCTTCACATGCTTTCTCTCAAAGGAAAATATTATGAGCAGTCCAAGCCTGATCTAAAAGGGATGGGAATGGAGGAGTTGTAGGTGCTGACATCCACTGCCCTCCACATCACATGCCACAAAAGCAAGCCCTCACTTGGAAAGGCAGACATTTTGCTCTTGGTCCATATGCTGACAGCTCTCACCTTGACAGTGATTACACCTTTCCGGCCAACCTTTTTCATGGCATCAGAAATTATATTGCCTATTTCCTGATCTCCATTCGCTGATATTGTGGCAACCTGAAAAAGCAAAATGCTTAAATTCATTTCACAGACCACATAATTTGTTTCCTTACTATAAACAAAATGATCATTTTCAATTCTAATACACGCAGAACAAGTGACAGTAGCACATCCACACCACAACTACAATACAGTGGCTAGTGGCTTCAGGGCAGCTCAAGCAGTGGGCAAGATCCCACACGCCGGGTTCATGCAGCACACACATCTCAATCTGCAGCTGCAAGAGGAAACGAGGCAACACACCTGCAAAGTGCACCCAGCAAGGCATCTGCCTCAACCTGAACCTCCCACAGCTCATCTGTAACAAAACTCCTGCAAGTCAGCCATCACCAAACTCACCAATACATTTTTGCTTTCTTCAGTTCTTCCCAAATAATCACACTTAGGTTTTATGACCACTTTTTGAAAACAATCCTGATGGAAAATACTGCCTACTTCTGAACCAACATCTAAGTGAAGATAGAATACTGGGCAT